AGCGGCTTCATGTAGATGTTAAATAGGAGGGGGGACAAGACCGAACCCTGTGGCACACCACATTTGAGGGGCCTAGGGGTCGACCTTTGCCCCCCGACCAACACTGACTGCGACCTGTCAGAGAGGTAAGAGGAGAACCACCATAAAACGGTGCCTCTCACTCCCACTTCCTCCAGGCGTCACAGAAGGATACCATGGTCGATGGTATCGAAGGCCTCTGAGAGGTCAAGAAGCACCAGGATAGAGGAATGTCCTCTATCCCTGGCCCGCCAGAGATCATCAGTCAGCGCGACCAAAGCAGTTTCCGTGCTGTACCCAGGCCTGAATCCCACCACTGGTACCGCCCCCTACAGTTGGGAACGACCAGCACTTATGTGCGAGGGGAATTTTACCTTATTGTTGCTTAACACCAGCAGTACATCAACCTATTTATTAATTGTATAACTATATTTTTCAAACAATTATCAATTTTAGTGCTTATCAAGACAGGTCAGGTTCCAAGGAATAATCTGCATGAGAAAATATAAGGCGAAACCATTAGTAATCTGAATCTTCACATAAGTTCCAAATTGCCTGTGATTTGTCAAGCCTTCCATTTCGTATCATTAGTCCCCACTAAGCTAGTTAAGTGGACAGAGAAAAAATGGAATAACATAAATGAAGCATAAATGAAACGAATGTTTCGGGTACGTCAAAAATTATACGGAGTATCACTGGCTTGTCAACCAACTCCTCAGAGTTTTCCACAAAATTCTGCTCTTTGAAACGAATTTCAAGAGGACAATTCTCTTTCATCGAAGTGAGTGTAAGAGGTATGGGAGAATTTTCCCTGTGGTTTTACTCACTCGCGCACACAGACAGAGACACGGAAGGAGCAGTGTGAAGCCTTCTGCCACCCAGTGTGTTTCTGGTTTTGTCTTGAGGCTTCAGATGCCTGGAGTCCATCCTTTATGCCTCAACAACAATACAAACATGTAAATCAAAATCCTCCTTTCTCTCTCTCGCTCTGTGTTCAGTTCCTGGATCATTTGTTGGCTGGGATTGAAGATATATCGGGACACTGGGGACAGTATTATTGGAAAGACAAGTAAGGATTTGTTAAAAATACAAGTCTCTGCATGTATAAAGAGGGGGAAAAGCTTGTACATTTGATTTCATGACTGTATAAAGTTCCCTTGAGGGATGACTTAGCTTTATTCATCCTTGTGTTACAAAGCAGATTATTATTTCACAATAATAAGAAGAGTTCCTCCCTCCCTCCCTCTCTCCCTCTCTCCCATCCATCTTCCCCCCTCCCCTTCCTCTTTCTTTCTCTTCTCTCACCTTCACTCTCTGTTCCTTTTCTCCTTTCCCTCCCTCCCTCCAACTCTGTTAATCTAATCTAACCAATGTTAATCTAATCAAATCAAATCAAATCAAATCAAATCAAATCAAATCAAATGCCAAGCAGGTCACTTGTGTTTCCCAAATTTGTGCTCAAGTAACTCTTGCACACCAAGAGTGTTGCTTTTTTTAAACGAGTGACATTAATGAGTGACTTTCCTTCTCTGTCTTTCCCCGATTCTGGTTTTCTTTTCTGTTTTCCTTTCTGGACAGATTAGAGTATTTCAACAGCAAACACTTGCAGAAATATTTGCTCCGGGAATATAAGCAACCCAAATCAAGTATTGTCCTGTTGCACGAGAAACTGGAGAGGAAGCGTGCGATTGAGTTAGCTGAAGCAGGTCAGCTCTCCTGGAGACCATCTCAAAAAGCATTGCTGTGAGTCCTTCCTTTCTTCAGTTGACACAGTGAAAGCGCCTTTTCATTCTGACTCTCTCTCTTTCTCTCTTTCTCTCTTTCACTCTTTCTCTCTTTCTCTCTTTCTCTCTTTCTCTCTTTCTCTCTTTCTCTCTTTCTCTCTTTCTCTTTTCTCTCTCTC